CTGCTGAAGATGCCGCCCCTCCAGTATTGAGACTGAAAGGGAGAGGCTTACCTCTGCTGCCCTTGATCTCCCCTTCAATGAAGTCATCCTCACCCTCAAAGCATCTCTTATCTAAAGAAGCAATGACAGTAAGGAAATGACAATATCCTCAAACCCGAGACCTGTGTCCTGAACCTTTAAGACCAGCAACACTGGCAGAAGCAGCATGAGATGGCTTAGCACAGTGCTTGGCAAATAGTAAGGCTTGGATGGAAGTTGAAGTATAGTTATAACTAGATTTAGGTTTAAGATCAAAATTCTGATTGTGGTTTCTACTCTTCTCACCGCCTAACACACACAGCCTGCTGCTGACTTGATAAAGTGCAGGAAATGAGAAGGCACAGTTTTCTCCTTTCTTCCTCAGAACTGATGCCTCAACCACCCCCGACAAACTCAGCTCCCCTGGACCAAGCTCTCTGATCCAAGCTGCTCCACCTTCTTCCTTCCCTCAGACACATGCAAATTGTGTACAGTGAATGAAACAAATTCAAATTACCTTGTGATCCATAATGATTCCGAACAACAAGATGAAGAACCCCTGTGGCAAAATTCAATACAAGTATGAAAAACAGTTTTGCAAACAATATCCCAGGTTATTTTAATACCACTCTTCTAGATCCTTCTAGGAGAGTTATTGGATGTTAGAAACATCAGCTTCTACTGATTCAGATAAAAATGCATTGGCAAATCATTTCTTTGAGTGTGCCTCAAAGGAAAAGGATCACCTTCAGGTCTGTGCATGGGAATGATTGATATTTATCAAATGCGAACCTTATTAAATCTGTGTACCATCTTCCCAAATATGAAGGACATATTCTTACTTTTGATGATGGTAATATGTGGCACAGAATCTTGTAGTTTAAAGTGGTGATCATGGAAGGTATTTTGAGAAAATTAAACTTGTATTCTAGTCTCTTTTTGGTTGGAGTTAAAAGTCAAAAAACAGATACTCAGGGTCTCTGAGCTGGTGGGAGAATTTTATGCATTAAAGAGAGAAAACTACAGAGATCTGTAAGGCCAGGGCCTCTTCAAATTTAAATTATTTGGTCACCTATAAAATCACAATAACTAATAGTCAATCTTTTTAAATGCTGGGAGTTGAGGTTCAAGAAAAATCTGGATCCTGCCATGAGATTGGAGGGAAGCCTAGGTTTCTAACGATAGTTTCATGGTTGGCCTTTTAATACTCACGTGTCATCCTCCACGATGCGTTAACTTAGATCCGTTGTTTGGTTTTAACGAAGCATTCTAAGTGGGGTGGTGGCGAGGGAAGATAACAGTGATGTCAGCGAGTAGCGGATTAACAAAAATGCACACATATTTATATTTATGAATATGCCTGCCTAGAGATAAACATGTGAAAATGGAAACATGAAGAGTAGTACCCAAGTTGACACAGCTACCCAGAATTAAATTAATGTATTTCACTGAATCTGACATGGGAAGCTACATTGTTATTTTTATGTTCCACTAACAAAAAAAAAACAAAAAAAAAACACAATTTGCCAATTAAACCATGACATGCCATTGATCATAAGATGTATTCCAATTTCAGAAATGTTAAAAAGTGAAGAAAATGCCTATCTTCAAATCGATGACCTATGGTACTAAAAGTCATGATCAATACTAGCTAACTATAATGCTGACTTTCAAAATGTCCACAAAGTTTCTGTTTATTTTTAAAAGAATTATACTGAGAAACTGTTGGTTTGGTAAATAACTTCTTTCTAATTAATGTAGCAATGGTGGCAATTTTAATTGGGACCTTAAAGTACTAATAGTTTGGTCAAAAGTCATCTTCAAGATCAATAAGAATAGTCATCCCCCTTTATGCATGAGGGATACATTCCAAGATCCCCAGTTGGATGTGTGAAGCTGCAGATAGTACTGAACCCTATATACATTATTTTTCCTATATATATACTTGATAGTAAATTAGGCACAGAAGAACTTGACAAAATAATAATAGAAAACAATTGTAATAATATATTATTGCAAGAGTTATGGGAATGTGGTCTCTCTCCCTCAAAATATCTTCTTGTGCTGTACTCACCCTTCTTCTGGGATGACATGAGGTAACAAAACGCCTACATGGGGAGATGAAGTGAGGGGATTGTGGTGGGCATTGCGACATAGGGGTAGGCTACTGTTGACCTTCTGACCAGAAGCCACAAAAAGGATCATCTGCTTCTGGGCTGCGGTTGACCACAGAAAGCAGAACTGGGGATGAGGGGAGACTACTGGACAGATACTTCAATCCAAGGAGTGTGGTTTACTGAGGAGCCCTGGGCAAGGAGAAGGCTAGTGCTCATGATTCGCTGGGTGGCTCTAGGCAAAGCTCTTCAGTACTGTGGGCCTTGGTTTCCTTGCCTATAAAATGACAAGGTTGAACTCGAATCTCATATCTAAGTCATCTCTCATTTCTCAGTTCTCACATTTTTTATGAATCTATGTTCGTGGGCTCATGTTGTCCCATCTCAATGGTCTACCTGTGAAGTTGAAAGACATCCAATGTGGAAAATTCTCTTGGGATATATTCTACTGTCCTTAAACTTTAGTGGGATACTCCACATTTGTTGGATGAAGAAATGAAGGACTGAAGGTATGCCCTAATGATTCTCTTTGCTAACAAATCCTGAATACTAAGCTGTAATGTTTTCTTCATAACTCTGCTGAAGATGCCGCCCCTCCAGTATTGAGACTGAAAGGGAGAGGCTTACCTCTGCTGCCCTTGATCTCCCCTTCAATGAAGTCATCCTCACCCTCAAAGCATCTCTTATCTAAAGAAGCAATGACAGTAAGGAAATGACAATATCCTCAAACCCGAGACCTGTGTCCTGAACCTTTAAGACCAGCAACACTGGCAGAAGCAGCATGAGATGGCTTAGCACAGTGCTTGGCAAATAGTAAGGCTTGGATGGAAGTTGAAGTATAGTTATAACTAGATTTAGGTTTAAGATCAAAATTCTGATTGTGGTTTCTACTCTTCTCACCGCCTAACACACACAGCCTGCTGCTGACTTGATAAAGTGCAGGAAATGAGAAGGCACAGTTTTCTCTTTTCTTCCTGAGAACTGATGCCTCAACCATCCCCGACAAACTCAGCTCCCCTGGACCAAGCTCTCTGATCCAAGCTGCTCCACCTTCTTCCTTCCCTCAGACACATGCAAATTGTGTACAGTGAGTGAAACAAATTCAAATTACCTTGTGATCCATAATGATTCCGAACAACAAGATGAAGAACCCCTGTGGCAGAATTCAATACAAGTATGAAAAACAGTTTTGCAAACAATATCCCAGGTTATTTTAATACCACTCTTCTAGATCCTTCTAGGAGAGTTATTGGATGTTAGAAACATCAGCTTCTACTGATTCAGATAAAAATGCATTGGCAAATCATTTCTTTGAGTGTGCCTCAAAGGAAAAGGATCACCTTCAGGTCTGTGCATGGGAATGATTGATATTTATCAAATGCGAACCTTATTAAATCTGTGTACCATCTTCCCAAATATGAAGGACATATTCTTACTTTTGATGATGGTAATATGTGGCACAGAATCTTGTAGTTTAAAGTGGTGATCATGGAAGGTATTTTGAGAAAATTAAACTTGTATTCTAGTCTCTTTTTGGTTGGAGTTAAAAGTCAAAAAACAGATACTCAGGGTCTCTGAGCTGGTGGGAGAATTTTATGCATAAAAGAGAGAAAACTACAGAGATCTGTAAGGCCAGGGCCTCTTCAAATTTAAATTATTTGGTCACCTATAAAATCACAATAACTAATAGTCAATCTTTTTAAATGCTGGGAGTTGAGGTTCAAGAAAAATCTGGATCCTGCCATGAGATTGGAGGGAAGCCTAGGTTTCTAACGATAGTTTCATGGTGAAGAAATATTAATAAAAGGACTGACATTTTTAAATGTAAATCACAGAGAAAGCTTGCTATGTAGAGTGTATGTAACTAGAAGTGTTTTTGTATTTTTCTGTCAAGAAAAGAGAAAAAGAAATGATCTGAAAAAAACAGAACAAAATTTTCTGTGATTTAATTAAGTTGTAAGGTAAAAAAATAGGAGATGAGATAATTAGTCACTAAATTAACTTCAAGACTTGGGGAGATTTATATGAGACCAAGAGCTTTTGATTTCCAAAATAAAGCAGTTCTCTTTAAAGTTGTGCAAGAGAAAGAGTGGAATAAATGTTCTCCATAGTCGTTTAAGAATTATGAGTAAGATATATACTTGATCTGAGTAGGCATCTCTTAAATTCTGCTTTATTTTTTGTTAAACATTTTTAAATAGAGTAATAGTGATAGTGACATGTTAAAAGGAATTACTTTGCTGCTTTATTAAGCTGTTATTTTAAGCAGTGGTTGGAAAAATTTTTCTGCAAAGAACCAGATAATAAATATTTTAGGCTTTACAGGCTATACAGTCTCTGTTACAGCTACTCAGCTTTGCAAAGAAGCCATAGGCAAAATATAAACAAATTAATATGGCCTTGTTCCAATAAAACTATTTACAAAAACAGGCAGTAGGCCATAGTTTGCCAACCCCTGATTAAAAACATAATTAAAAATCTGAGCTTGCCAAATTTGCTATCACCCATGGGTATGGAAAGCAGCAGCTGGTCAGTGACTGCTTCCCAAGAGTGCAAATTCAGCAGCCAAAATGTCATGAAACAATCTTTAGAGAGACAATCATGCCAAACCAAGTAAGTTAGAACCATAAAAGCAATAGAGATTATTGTAGATCCATATCTTTATCTTACCATTGAGGAGATTTAGGCCCAGAGAAAAGTGATATTTCTAAGACCGGGTATCAGGTGGCAAGGTCCATCTCAGTGAATAACAACCTACATTTACTTCACAGGGAATAGCAGAGATGAGGTATGAGACTGGTTAACATCCAAAGAGAATGGCGAGGGCCATCACTTCATACTATGGAGAATGGCTGTCGTTTCACTGAGTTCCCAAACTACTTGAGAGAATATAAAAATTGTGCTTGTTTTGAAGCATTAACATCTGAGTGTAACCTCTCGCATCCCTGACCAAAGACTAGTCCTCTATGTGTGAAGGTCAACTTCTTCTGACATTGACAGTGTAGGAAGGATACAGGCAGATCTGTGAGGAGAGAGGGAAGGAGAGTCCACCTAACCAGCCTGATCATTCAAATCCAATTTGACACTTAATAAGTAAGAGATGCCACAGCTAACGTTAATGATAAAATAAGTCTCCCTATTGCACTTACCTGGAAAGCGTTAAGCAAGGCAAAGATGATGTGAAAAATCAGGGAAGTGCCTTCTATGAGGGTGGCTATTCCAAAACCCCAGGTCAGTCCCAGCAGTGGGGTGAGGATGGCAACATTTTTGCTGATCCTCATCATTACGGCTACATCCTGAGACTTGGAACTGCCAATCGAGGGCCTCTGAGTGTTGAGAGCAACGACAACAATTACGGTAAGGTTCACAGCCACAGTGACCAAGGCTGGGATGGCAAAGGCTAAGAGTGCCTTGGTATTGTCCCAGTTAAGCCAACAGGCATCAGGTCTCATGTAGCCTTTCTTTGGCACTGTGACAGCAACTGTGGTGACAGCAATGACCAGCGGGCACCCATAGCCAATGGCAAAGCCAATGGCAATCATGCGGGACTTCATTATCCTCCGGAAAATGACCAATATTCCATAAACAATGAGCAGTGCTTTGAAGAGCATCCAGAAGAACACAGAGAGGTAGAAAAAGTGGCTGAAAAATGTCACTGCAACACACCAGTGGTCATCCAGAGCCTTCTTGTTAAAGTTAGAGGCTATGATGAACCACACATTAGCCGTCAAGAGTGATACAGCGATGTTCACGATGCACACATGACGCATGTATGATATCTCTGTCACAGCCACCCGGGACCACACAGTGGCTTCAATGAGCAGGCAAAGAATCAAGCTAAGGACGGAGATGCTGAGCCCAATGTAGGTGATATAGTCCAGGACTTTACTGTCTATAGATTTGGGGGACATCAGAATGGAAAAAGACATCATCACACTAGTGTAGTTACACCGGCATTTCACTTTGTCCGTGATTTCCAACATCGTTTCACACACATTCTCATCCCACCTCCTTTTTCTGGAGTGCCAGCCAACGCACTGGGCCCTGGAATTCTGGGATCTGTTGATCTTCTCAAAGGTGAGTAAGATCTGCTTCAATCTGTCTGGCAAAATCACGGAAAGAATCAGACCATTTACTGGCCTGGGAAGACTCACATTCTCCAAGTGGGCTTCTTTCAGAACTGCCCCCAAGGTGGGAAAAGCTACGCTGATGGCTTGGGATGCATTTGGTGGCAACTTCTGCAGCTCATGCCTGGGAATTTCTATCATTCCTAAGACACCTTCTCTTGCATTGTTCATGCTCATGGAGAAACTGAAACTCTTCTCTGAGGTATCGTGGTTGATGCAAAACCCTTTCGTCTGAATGAAGAATTCATCCACAATGTTCTCTGATTCATTTTGGATGCTGAGTTGCCCAGCGAACAAATTCACTGACTGTAACAAATCTGAGCTGGCATTTTTGTCTGGAATGAAAGTCCAGTTTGAAATGGCTGCTGGGTCAAGAATGTGGCTGGCCACTTTGCTGTAGCTCTGCAAAAGAGAGAAGTGGACACTAGGGTCAGGCTTTACACAGCATTGCACAAAGTTGGTTTCTGAAGTCTGAAATTTCTAAAGATCAAATGAGCTGATCTTCTTTGACATTTTTCTTTTCAGATGTACTGTTAGAGTCTCATACTAGCAAGCCTTCAGAAAGGAAGAAAAGTATAAGAATGCAAAAAATAGAGGAAAATAGTAAGAGTAAAGAGAAAGCATCACAGATAAAGAACTTGCTTTATTATGTGCCCAGAGTCGCAATCCCAAACTGCCATCTGTATAACCCAAGTTTCCCCTGAGAACCTAAAGATTGTTTAATGGAATGAGCTGGGGGTACGATAACCTAAGTTTGAGAAACCCTGGATCCCATATGCCTCTGTTCCTCAGACAGAGCATCAAAGTTCCTCAAACACATTAAAACTCAGAGACATCCTGCCATAAGGAAACCTGCTTAACTTTGTTTAACCCAGAGTTCCTACATCTGCTGTGCTATGTATGGATCCTCCTTTCAAAAATGGAACATCTGTTAACATTTCTCAGAACCATTTTGTTCTACAGAATGAAATCTGGGAAACACTAGAGAAAGCACAGTCTTGCTCACAGCCCTCCCTGTGTGATATTTTCTTAAAAATACTAACACCATACAAAACACATATAGAAAATGCTCTAACTTCTTGAAAAAAAACCCATAAACTAGAGTGACTCAATATGCAAAACTGAGATGAAATGCTTATTGTTTCTGTGGTTGCTGTGGCTGTTACAGTTTTTACCCTGACAAGTACATCTGAAACTGTTAAAATGCAAGATTTTGAAATAAACATGGTCAGGTTAACAAAGAATACCTTCATTTTCTCTTGAGTAACATTATCAGACAAGTCTGTAGAAATATTTCTTAATAATTCCACTATAAAGGCGATATTTCCAGATGTGGCTTCTGATGATTCCACAGCATCGACTATGCAGGCATAATCAACGGGGCAGTGCTTGCGGAGTCCTTGAGAGACGCTCCCGATGGTGGCTAGAGCTTGAAAGTCAGGAATGTGCAGAGGTATAGATGCTGCTGCCAGAGAAAGGCGTGACGCACTATCTGAGTCCTGTTTTTTTAAAAATGTGTCATTCAAAAATGATTAATGACTTAACAGGTGTCAGACTGAAGGAGCTAAAGGCACAAATAATCCATGTGGGGAAGGGAGATGAAGAAGCAAATGGACCTAAAAAATGGATTAGTTGCTGAGCACCATGGAGAGAGTAAGATGGGGCCATAGACAGGCAAGAGATGCTACCAAAATTCCCTCAGAGATGACGATACTGACCTGTCCCATTGGAATTTGCTTTCAGGACAGTGTTTCTTAACTCAAGTATTACAGCAAAACAGTTCTCTCCAAGGATGGGGAGAAATTCTAGAAACAGAATCTATCTAATTATTTTAAGTTTGTTTTTGAAGAGGAGTTACAAGGAATTTAAGGGGAAAAGGGAGTGGTTTTTGAAGATGGGTGGTCAAACACAGAGTGCTTAAGAATTGCGATTTCAAAAAGTTTTGAGTTCACTGATTAGAAGTTAATTGTCCATTTCCTCATACTTTTCCCTCAAATCCCCCAAAATGTGACTTTGGATAAGTCAAAGCAATAATTTACTTCATTTAATTAACTTTTGAATTTCACTCTTGTTGCAAGGACCTCTACATGAGAACCTAGGCTAAGTGACAGATACCACTGACAATCCCTTTATAAAACTACTGTTAAATTTTTAGGAAATGCAGAAATCTATGTGCTTCTATGAGGTTGGAGAGAAGGTAGAAGGAAATGAAACAATTACATGAAAGAATATAAGAGAGGTTATGGTCATTTTAACTGAGATTTGTTCTATTCATTGGATTTCTAGTCTCAAGTCACAGATCTCTCTTTTCCTTTGGTCAAGTGATTGAAGTATTAGAAAAAGATATCACAATGTATTTGATTCTAGACACATTTAGCTGATTAACTGATTAGCACAATAGGCACCCAAATCCTTCTTTAGAGCTGTAACTTCAACCTCTAAGTATTTACCATTGTGTAAATGAGTTTCAGATCTCTTTTTGAGAAAAGATCCAGAGAGGGAGAAAGAGAGAGAGAGAATGGGGAAAGGAGGGTACCTGAGAGTTTGGGTAAGGAAGAAATGGGAAGAGACAAATTTAATACTCGCTGTAGATTTTCCTAAACCCAGATCTGAGATTTACTGTCACACTGAACACACTGAAAATGACTTCACCACCTCCTGAGGAATTGTCTCCTGAAGCCAATAATATGCAAACACATCACCTTAAAGAGTGCTTCCACGGAAAGGCTTGTACAGGTTTCAGTTGATTTTTGCCACTTGTTCTGATGACATGTAAATCCTATTTCTCCATGAAAGTGCTGAGCACAGGACTGGCTGCAGTTGGAAGAAGCAGTACAATGTCCATGGCATTTCTCTGAAAAGGAAAAAGAGAGAAGCTTAATTAGCATTTCCCCACTCTGGCAGGGCATCTAACTTATTCTGGAGGTTTGGGGATTGCTTCCTAGAAGGGGTGACATTGAATAGAATTCTCAGCAACAACTAAAGCCCACCAGGCAGGTTGTAAAGTATGTAAGCAGCATGAATAGCTCATGGAAAGGAGGGTTCACAGGTCACTCAGAAAGGCTAGTTCAGAGCATCTGCAGTAGCAAGAGATGAGGACAGAATGGAAGGCAGTGGTCAAGCTGTGAAGGACTTTGAATGCTGTGTTCATATGTGGATTACCAGAAAACATGGCTGGATTTGTTTTGGAAGGGATAATGAACAATAGCATAGAGGAGTCATCAGTAAATCTTCTGTAAAGGACCAGATAAAAAGGGTGTCCAGATAAAATAAGAAAGCCAGTTAAATGTTAATTTTATCTTCAAATACAGTCAATTCTCATTTGGAGTAGTTATGTTTTATGAAGCCTCCACCACAAACACTGAATTAGTGAGAACTTAGTCATTGCTCCCAGGGGAAATGCAAGGTTAGGTTCCTTCAAACTTCTGCTCACAACACTTCCATTCATCGATCAATATACAAGCTTGTTTTATGTGTGTTTCTATTTGAAGACAGCTCATTTAACACATCTGGTTGGTTCACTAACATGGAACTCACAGCCAAGAGCACTGTAACTCAACAACAGTATAACTCATGACAGCTTATCTAACATACGTATTTTCTCCGTAAGGCACATCATAGCCTTCTTAGAGACATAAAATAGCACTTCAAAATGGTACTTGGGGGCCATTTTAAACAGCAAAATCACCCACAGAAAGCATAAAAGGACATAACATGTGGTACTAAAACATTTGCATACAGTAGGAGAGAACTGGAACAAGAAGGCAGAGGGCCACCTTGTTCAGCCAGGAATGTGCACCTTCACTGACTCAACTTTTTTGCTATTCTGAGCAGGTGTGAATGATCCAGAAAGCACCATGAGTATTGATGTAGAGGTTACAAATAGATTTCAATGAGCAAGAGAATTTGAAAATGCAGAATCCACAGATAATGAGGATCAACTGAATGTGTTTAGTGAAAGAATGAATATATTTTGGTGTCTGTATGACCCATGCAATTTGATTCATTTTTATCTGAAATTTACCAGGCATCCTATATTTTTATTCACTAAGTAGGACAACTCTAGCCAGGGAGTAAATATTTTCAACTTTCTGGGCTATATAGTCTTTGCTGCAACTACTTAACTCTGTCTTTGCAGCATTAGAGCAGCCAAACATGCTATGTAAATGACTGGACATGGCTATCTTCCAATAAAATTTGATTTATAAAAACTGGTGGCAGGCCTAATTTGGCCCATGGGTAGAGTAGATTGAATTGAGGCAGGGCGCCCAAGAATGAAGCCTTCAAAAGCACTCCCAGGAAGAATTGCCTTAGGATAGTGACAATGGAATGGAAAGAAGTAGACAATGCTGAAGAAAAGAAGTATGAAGGTGCTGAAGTCAATAAGATGAGGTGACCAATAGCTGTAAGGCAAGGAGTGCACCTATATTTAAGGCTTGGACAACTCTAGGGTGCCTCCATTCCTGGATAAAGGAAACAAGTGGGTCTGCATCTTTTTTTGACATCTAATCAGGTGTATCAGTTTTTGTAAGCTATTCAGACTGAGTGCCTCTCAATTTTTTCATCTATATATAGTTTGGAGGTGGTGACATAGTCTTGTCACAAACATTGAATAAGACAACATCTTGCAGAGCACTTAGATCAATGTTGCAATAAATGCTCAATAAATGTTGACTATCTTTCTCCTTCCTCAATTCCACATCTTTGCAGAGATGTTTTTGCTGCCAAAAATACAGTTGGCCAGTTCATGCTGAGTCCAGTTATCCCTACTATTTGGGGGAGAATAGCATGATCTCACTGTCTTACTATTAATGGTTACCTCCAGAGTTTATTTTCCACTTCTCGAGAGTATCCAGTCTTGCCAACGTAATACCTATCTTACATCATTTCAGTAGACTTCTCAGCACCAGACCGTTGCATACATTTAAGCATCCTAAAAATAACTGAATGAAGGAATGAATGAATCCTGTTCTCTTCCCTCTTCTGCTTCTTATTAGCTCATTAGTCCACACAGTTCTTTTTTAGGTTTTAAAATGCATACTTGTCTTCCATTCTAGAACACATTTGAGTATTTGCCACCTTGCTTCACTGTCTATGCCATGGATCATGGTGTAATTGTAAGAAAATCTCACTACTGATAAACACTGAGAACTGATTAAATATTATTATCCACTTTGAAAGCTTGCGGTCTGGGGATGCACTTGCAATATCAATGCCCTTCCTTTCCAAAAACAGACGACTATTCTGTAGCCACATACCTTGTATACTTTCAGCCTTGGATTTCTCTTCAGGATGCTGATGGTTATATTCCTCCTGTAAAACAGAAATCCCCAAAGGTCCTCTTTATGTGGAACTCTCCTCTCTCTCAATTCAACTTACAGGTTCTCTATCAATGTGAAGAGAGAATGTGTTCAGAACTAGGAAGAGGGTCCACAAGCTGATAGAGCAGGAACTTGCTGAAGGAAACATGGATGGGAGCAAGACCAAGAACACACTGTCCTCGAAGAAGGCAGGATACTGACACTGGTCACTGGGGCTCTGAAGGTCAGGTCAGGGGACTGGGTTCCTAGGTGGGGAAGTTTAAGTATCCAGGCAGAACCCAGAGATGGCAATTATAGCACTAAGCTGTTCTCTGCCTGTATTACCTGTAACTATGAAAGGAGCTAATAGTGTCCACCAGATACTACATATCCCCGAGGAGGAAGAGATGAGCAGACACTGGGAATAATCACTAAGTTACAATAATAGAACCACGGACTGTTTTGTGGCTATAAAGGACTATAAAGATTGTGTAAAAGAAAAAAAAGCACCCTTCATGTTATAGATAAGGAAATTAAGACTCAGAGAATTGAAGCATCTTGTGCAAGTAACAAGAAGCAAAGTTCACGTCTTAACCAAAATTGCCTGACTGTCAGGCTAATCTTCCTCCTCTCAACAGCTGCCTGTCCACATCCTCTGTGACTTGAAAAGTGACTTTTCCACCATATGGCTGCATCCTGTTGCACCTTGAAAATACGGTGTTGCAGTCCCAGCTACCCCTCAACTTTTCTTTGCTCCATTCTTCAGAAAACAAGAGTCATCTGAAAATTTCCCTCAAATGACATGTTATTTGTCATAAATTTAGCCATCTAGAACTACTGACAGATTTCTCATGAGAGCACCTAAGAATGGATCAAACTTACTTTTATTTGGATCTTGGATCTGGAGTGAGAACACTCCGTGGCCAGAAATAACATTATCTATCTTTCTCCTTCCTCAATTCCACATCTTTGCAGAGATGTTTTTGCTGCCAAAAATACAGTTGGCCAGTTCATGCTGAGTCCAGTTATCCCTACTATTTGGGGGAGAATAGCATGATCTCACTGTCTTACTATTAATGGTTACCTCCAGAGTTTATTTTCCACTTCTCGAGAGTATCCAGTCTTGCCAACGTAATACCTATCTTACATCATTTCAGTAGACTTCTCAGCACCAGACCGTTGCATACATTTAAGCATCCTAAAAATAACTGAATGAAGGAATGAATGAATCCTGTTCTCTTCCCTCTTCTGCTTCTTATTAGCTCATTAGTCCACACAGTTCTTTTTTAGGTTTTAAAATGCATACTTGTCTTCCATTCTAGAACACATTTGAGTATTTGCCACCTTGCTTCACTGTCTATGCCATGGATCATGGTGTAATTGTAAGAAAATCTCACTACTGATAAACACTGAGAACTGATTAAATATTATTATCCACTTTGAAAGCTTGCGGTCTGGGGATGCACTTGCAATATCAATGCCCTTCCTTTCCAAAAACAGACGACTATTCTGTAGCCACATACCTTGTATACTTTCAGCCTTGGATTTCTCTTCAGGATGCTGATGGTTATATTCCTCCTGTAAAACAGAAATCCCCAAAGGTCCTCTTTATGTGGAACTCTCCTCTCTCTCAATTCAACTTACAGGTTCTCTATCAATGTGAAGAGAGAATGTGTTCAGAACTAGGAAGAGGGTCCACAAGCTGATAGAGCAGGAACTTGCTGAAGGAAACATGGATGGGAGCAAGACCAAGAACACACTGTCCTCGAAGAAGGCAGGATACTGACACTGGTCACTGGGGCTCTGAAGGTCAGGTCAGGGGACTGGGTTCCTAGGTGGGGAAGTTTAAGTATCCAGGCAGAACCCAGAGATGGCAATTATAGCACTAAGCTGTTCTCTGCCTGTATTACCTGTAACTATGAAAGGAGCTAATAGTGTCCACCAGATACTACATATCCCCGAGGAGGAAGAGATGAGCAGACACTGGGAATAATCACTAAGTTACAATAATAGAACCACGGACTGTTTTGTGGCTATAAAGGACTATAAAGATTGTGTAAAAGAAAAAAAAGCACCCTTCATGTTATAGATAAGGAAATTAAGACTCAGAGAATTGAAGCATCTTGTGCAAGTAACAAGAAGCAAAGTTCACGTCTTAACCAAAATTGCCTGACTGTCAGGCTAATCTTCCTCCTCTCAACAGCTGCCTGTCCACATCCTCTGTGACTTGAAAAGTGACTTTTCCACCATATGGCTGCATCCTGTTGCACCTTGAAAATACGGTGTTGCAGTCCCAGCTACCCCTCAACTTTTCTTTGCTCCATTCTTCAGAAAACAAGAGTCATCTGAAAATTTCTCTCAAATGACATGTTATTTGTCATAAATTTAGCCATCTAGAACTACTGACAGATTTCTCATGAGAGCACCTAAGAATGGATCAAACTTACTTTTATTTGGATCTTGGATCTGGAGTGAGAACACTCCGTGGCCAGAAATAACATTAAACAGCAAATCATGGTCGCCCGGGACTTCATTTTTTCACACATTAGGATCTTCACCTGCAATAGAAGTGAATGAGGATGGATCTGGCTGGAGGTGATAACACCACAAAACTAACACAAGTCTTAGCAGATGCACCTACTACTTAGTGACCCCACTGGGCGCTCGGAGATACTCACACCAAACAACCTGTCCCAAGAAAGGACACAAATATCTACTTCCAAACCAGCTAAAACGTACAAAAGAAAAGGCTTTCTATCAATTGTTGACCTTTCTGTAAATAATAAAAAGGTATGACAGAAGCACTGGGAAAGATGTATATTCACCAAAGTATCATTTCTTATTATTTGATCCACAAGTTTCTTTAATAGTAACACTGTGGATAAAGTGAAGGTTCCTATGGCCAGGATTCTCACCTGGCCCTGATTAGCCAACCTGGTTAGCTCACTACACACGTGTGGGCAATATGTTGCTATTGACTCTATATGAAGAGCCCTGCCCAGTGCTCTGGGTGATATGGTGGCATGGCTGCACAGCTGCATGGCTGCAAGAGAGCAGAGACTGGAGTGGTGGCAGCACCGAGGACAGACTGAGATGGCTGTGGGGACAGAGAGGCCCAGAGGCAGAGACAGGCTTGCTGCATGCAGACTCTCTCTAGGTGGACAGGATTCTAGTGATTGACCTGCCACCATGGGAATAAAATTGGGTATAAAATCTTTCACCCCAAGAACGTTCCATTGTCATTTTTGGGTCTCATTGAATCCATAGTGAACTTGCTCAGGAATGAAACACATTGGGAAGACAAACACTTATCAAGAACTCCTATTTGCCAATCACTGTTCTAGCTCTTTCTCTGCATTAACTCATTTAATAATATGATGGAAGTTACTATTCCTGTCTTCATTTTATCAATGGAAAAACTAAGGTATAAAGCATTGAACAACTATGAGCCAAGGTCACTGAGATAAAAAGTGATGGAGCCGAGAGTTCCAGCCAGATGGTCCACCCGGAGAGCCAGTCTCTATAGCAGAGTCTCTCAGCTGTGGTGCTGTTAATATTTTGGGCTGGATAAGTCTTTGCTTCTGGGGGCTGTCCTTTGAACTGTGGGATGTTTAGCAGTGTCCCTGGCCTCCACCCAGTAGATGCCAGGAGCAGCTCCCTCCACAGTTGTGAAAACAAAAAATATCCCCAGACATTACCAAATGTGCCCTGGCATCATTTGGTCCCTAACTGAGAACCACTTCCCTCCGGTGCACTGTCTCTGTAGGCTTATGGAGTCAAGTCACTTAAAGTGAAATGAATACCCACTATTGTCTGCTACTGGAAGCACTGAGACTCCCCCGTTAGAGGAATCAACTACTGCACAGAGAAACTAGATGCACTAGAAGACAACTCTCCATTCTTTTGCCATATTCTGCTTCTTGTCTTTTTCTTTTTTTATTGAGACATAATTGACACATAACATTATATTCATTTCAAGTGTACAACACAATGATTCCATATTTGTATGTATTGCAAAATGATCACTATAAGAGACTAGTTAACATCCATCACCACATGTAGTCACACTTTTTCTTTTCTTGTGATAAGGCCTTTTTCATGCTGGTTCCACCTTTCCAAACCAAATCTCCAAGGAAGTATTTTTACAACAGTTGAAATTCATCAGCAGCATTATGAGCATCATCATCAGACTGTTTTCATAAGATAGTGGCAATTAAGACCATGAATTGGTAAGAAAGTTCCTTGGAGTGATTTTCCTGGTAGTGCAGATGTAACAAAATGAACATATGGACTTCAAAGTCAGCAATGCCTAAGTTGTAATCATATTTCTGCTATTAATGAACTGTTTGACCCTTTCTGAACCTGTTTTCTCATCCATTTCATAAAATGCAGGATGATCATTCATTGTACCAACCAACATTTATCAAGTACCTCCTATTTACCAGAAAATGTACCAGATGCTGGGGGTATGGAAATAAAAGGTGCCACTGTTTCCATAAAGGATGTCCACTGGGGGACACAGACAAGTCAGGCCAATAGTGAGAACAGAGATCATCTGCACATTGCATCTCGTGAACAAGGCCAGGCAGAACCTGAGCCCTCAGCAAACATAAATCTCCTTGTGCTCTAACGGAGACGAACTAATTCTTGTCCATCTAGGTTCTGAGGCAATCTGTGGCCGGCGAGCCAACAAAACTCACTGGTCTGGGATCAAACCCTTGCTGGGTGGGCTTTCATGACTCCAGTGAGCCCTCCACTGACATGACAAGCCGCAGGCACTTACAGAAAGGTTTCTAAATTGTCTTTGAGTTCAAAATTGTCTTTGGGTTCCTACCCAGTAAACAGGGGAAAATTATTCTGATTTACACTCTCATCTTGTAGAGCAAGTCTGAGCAGGGGAAGGGCAACACGGCAGGATGACAAGCAGAGTAGGGTAACGGGTTTGCAGAGGTGCTGGGATGCGTGTGTGTAATTCATGATCCTACCTGTGTGGATGGAAAGGCGTTCTCAGGTATGCAGCAAATTGGTGGATGGATACGCTAAGCAATTTGCCATGTGAGTATTGTTTAGGATGGACTTTTAATGGATCATAACAAAAGTACCAGAAGAACCACTATAAGTTGTCTTAAATGTATCCATATATACACCTGTGGCTTTCAAAACAATCTTTGACTGTGACACAGTAAGAAACAGACCTTACATTGTGAATCTATGTATAAGCATACATATGTATCCATATATAGGTGTACATATATAACACTGAACAAACACATAATTTTTATATTTTAAAAATGCTGTGTAAAAATACCTATCCTTCCTACCTACAAACAAGACACTGCTATTCCCATACATTTTTGTATTCAACTCTATTCTCTCTGACATTCTCTGCAAAGTTTCACAATCCTCTAATGGATTATAACCTGCACTTTGAAAAACAGAAATGCAGACTATAAGAGTCATTGTCATTATCAAGTTGGAAATTGTTCACTTCTCCCACTAAAGTGGTTACTGTGCTCTTTCTCTTTGCTACACTTTACAATTCTATTGAACTCTCTTTCCAAAGGTACCTGTGTCAGAGAGAAAAGATACCTCCATTAGGACCAGATAATAGGTCTGATGTTGACGGTAAATGCAATTCTCTTCCACCTAGAGGACATGGTTTGAAATGCACAGTTAAATGGGGAAGACCAGCTAAAGCGAAGCATTTACACATAAAAATGCTTGCTATCTAAGGCTTCAGGAGAAGGGTCACTTTTACTGTCCAGTTTTCAATATAGGAACTTTGCTTACAGATAATCTTGCTGGAAGAAAGTCAGCTTTGGCATAGTGATGGGATGCGATTTACGGGGTCCAAAAATGTTCCCCTGACCCGTGTAAGGGCTTCTAAGTTGACAGTTCCTGAGAGTGTCCAGGGAATAAAAGATCTAATAGTCAAAGCATTCTCCGTAGATCACTAAGCTGTTTGTGGAATGCTATAAAATAGTGATACATTTCATCTATTCATATAAACTAAGAAAAATTTTCCTAAGCAGAAAGTCTAACATGCAATATGACATTATAAGCAAAGTGATAAGAAATACAAACTTTGAACTGAGCACATTTGGCTTTTTAGAGGGTTTTGGTTAATTAATTTGCTCCTTGATCATTTCTGTTATTATTGTCTGGTGTATGTAGCCAATATACCATTGTATGATAATTATATGGCAAACTGCCTTCAATTACTGTAAGTGTGGGGGTGAGAATGTTTAATGGTACTACCCAAGAGGAGTCGTAACAGTCTTATTTGCACCCAGTTAGATTGTTTTCAAGTTAGTCCCAGTTGGGTTGTTTCTCTTCTCAACAGAGGAGTTGATTGAGATCCCTCCCGCCAGAATTCAGTTGTTGGCTAAAGCCAAAAGCCAGAATACTCTGCAGAGCAGACAATGAGCAGTGCCTATGGGCTCTAAAAATGGAGGATTAAAAAAATAAAAAGAAGCGTTGCCAGTATAATTCCTAATCAGAGGTTGATATTTTACAGAACAGAATGGAAGAAGCACACTTTCTTAGATCCACCACTGAGAAAGACTTAACAATTAAGGTAAACTTTGACTGGTGTAATTTCAAACTGAGTAACTTCTGAAAATATGAATGAAGTTCCTCTCCAACACCTAGCACCATGTTTGCTAGTAAGAAGTTATCTCTTGAATGAATGAGAAAAGAAAAGAACAAGGACACAAAATCTGAACATTCAATTGAATGTGACAAGAAGAGAAGGGACTGTTTAGAAGAACATCAGCAAAACATGGACAATCCGGATAGAAGCAGCTTTCAGGTGTGAACCTCATCAAGGACAACTAGCATGGCCCCGGGGCTTACTAGTTTCAAGTGAAGAACAGCTGGAGTCAAAGCCGGGTCCTGTCCCACATGGAGAATCCAGAGGTTTCTGCATCCAGTACAATTCAATTACCTTTATACCATGCATTAACTCCTGGTTCTACACAGCGTGTTCAGTTTATCAACAAAACTATGTGTCTTCATAAATTCCTTAGTTCTATAAACCACTCGGATACAGTGGCAGAAGAACATTTTGTTGGGAAGAACTGTTGCTAGCTTTTTAAATCAAGACCCATACTTGGTAGGGGGAGAAATAAAAAGAGTGAGCAGCCATCCTGACAGACCTGTGATAATACATATTTATGCCTGGGATTGAGGCCTAGGGGCTACCAGTTGTTTGCCAGCAGTTTGTAGCAGGCACTGAAAGTTGAAGAAGAAAAGGATGTAAGAAAAACTTAACGTTAAGGACACTTGTATACACTGACTTAAAAGTTCTATGAATTCAGGAATAAAGGGTTTGATGTGTATTGTATTTGCTCAAGGTATTGTGCCCTGAAATGGGTTTCTGCAGAACTCTAGTCTTGTGAAAGATGAAGGGGTTCCATGGTCAGATCAGTTTGGGAAACAATGTGCACAAGCACCAACCCCTGCAGCCACTTACTCATGCACATATGCATAGCAAAGATTCTGAGAATTCCTGCAGTGAAAATACTATTTCATCTCGGTTTTATCAATTTTACTTGATCCTCAAAAGCATTTTGGGGCAATGTAAGGCTGCTCTTCAAGGACAATATGTTACCTGGGAACACATTTGTTTATCCTGACTCAGTCTCCACATGCATTTCTTGGGCACCTACAACATGCCGGTCCCTGCGCTAATACCTTAGGGAAGCTCCTGTAAGTCACGCACACCAGGACCCGAAGTGGCCCATTAGACAGTAACCATCCAGGCTGCAGAGAACCCTGAGCGGAGGCAGCTGACACGTCATCTCACCCATGAAAGGAGTCAGAACTCTCCTGAAGTGGGACCCTCAGGGTGGAGGGGTGAGAGAAGGCAGGCACGGATGGCGTGACTGCTGGAAGTTTGGGGCAATCACAAGGGAGGGAGAATTGACTCAGAAATGGAAAATAAAAAAGGAGAAGAGAAAACAGTGCGAAAGCACTCCTGTCTGTGGCTCTCTGTGGTAATTCAGCAAATAAAGAGTTTTCTGACATTGATAAACTCCCTCCAGCTTCTGCAACAGTCACCCAGTGAAGGCGGCTCCACATCTTGTTCCCAAAGGGCCTGAAAGATGACTTATTTCAGAGATAATAGCAACAAGCCACGTGGAATAGCAGCTTCTCGAGAACTAGAAAAGTGATGTCCCAAGTCCCTCCCTGCTTCCACAACCCACCTCTCTCTGCATCCTTAGAAGTGTGAATTACCCACTATAATCCTCCTCTGTTTTGCACTTGATAATAAATAGCAGTTCTAGGCTGCTGAAAGGGAGACCAGACTCCCTGCTCTGATGGAGTGATTACTTCAGGGAGAGAGAGGAAAATAGCATTTGCTGGCCTCGTAGGCTTACAGGAGAATGTAGCTAGACACTACAGCCCCAGAGGTAAGATGTCTCAGGATCCACCTCCCCAGTGAATCCACAGCAACGGGTGCCCCCCACACCACTGCCTGCACCCTAAGCCCTATTGACATGGGATCAGCAGAGCCCAAGGCTTAGTGCTCTTAGCCCCCCCAGCACTGAGAGACATTAGGTCATGTATAATGGAACAGACAAAAAAAAAAATTCAGGTTGTCATTGGATAGGAGGGATGTTTCTCTGCCCCAGCCGAGTATTAGGTATATAATAGACACTCAGTAAACATTTGCTGGATAAATAAATGAAGAAGTGAATCACCCCCTTGAAGAGAATGATGCCAGCCAGCTTCTGAAGTTTTTATTTTAAAATCACAAAGCATCTTTTCTACCATAAGAGAAACAGACAAGCATATTTCCAACCCTAAATAATTTTGGAATCGGGAAAATTAAGTAAAAATGTTCCCAGCCTCCTATGGATCTCTTTGTTGTACTATCTGGAGCCTTATGTGAAAAAGGACTGCAAGCTCCCATCTGGGTTTAGCCAGAAACAATGTCATGCCACATTAGTGATGCCAGCCCTGGGCACGGTAGGGCAAGCATCTCTTTCCACAGTCTCCACAAAGTCGGAACTCATAGAACACTCTTTCCCTGGACACACACAGAAGGCCCTGGCTGTTCTTAAATACCATTTTCTACTTGTCTCATCTTTCCGGTAACCTAGAGCTGAGTTTCTGAATGAGTTGAATTCAAAAACACAGCTATGCTGCCTGGGTCTTGGTGTTTATTTCTGTTGTGCGCTAGGTGGAGCTGCAGGAGTTGAGTCCCATGGACTGGGGCAGTCCCCACCTGTCTGAACGGTGGGCATCCAGGGTCTCAAAGGAGTTTTTAAAGGTAGAGCCCGGGAACTGTAACTCCAGTGGGTCAGGAAGGAATGTGTCTTCCCGCGTCATCTCTCAGACCTCTTCATGCAAAACCCCTGAAGGTAAGCTGGATGGGAGTGTTTACAAACTAAGCATTCACTTTCCCAGGGTTCCTCGCCACTGAAATTTCACCCGATGGCCAGAGGGTGGGCCTGTCCTCACTTGTTGGTGAGCCTTCTGGGTGGCAACTCACCTCACACCCCTTGGCCAATCCTACTGATGGCAACCCCCGGATCAGAAAGGTTAGCTGGAGGGCGAGGAACTTAGAGTTGGGTGACCCACATTTTTAGGTGTGGTGTGTGCGTGCAGGCACATTTTGTTTCCCTCAGCCTAATTTCACAACTGTATTTTCCATCTACTCCACTGCATAATTAGAACTCTGATTATAGAGTCAGAGGACAAAACAAGTTGTTTGTGTCTTTCTTGGCCTCAATAAAAGAGTGCCTTCAGTCACTCTTACCCTCTCTTGCCATGGGTGAGCTGCTTCCTATAGAGCCTATGGGGAAAGAAACATATAAAAGATGTATTAGAATCAGAAACCTCTTTTCCTGGGCTATTTCAGATGGCTTCTAGCCAGTCTCTTTGTAGCTCAATATCCTTTCTGAAAATTGCAGTCTGGATTCAAATTCTGGTAAGTTTGAAGAATCACATAATTTCAGAGCTGGAAAAACATCTAGCATCTCACCAACTATCTTGATACTTCTATCAAGATTTTAAAGAAATTGATATACCAGGCAATTGCTATGGTCCACGCAGAAAGCCCACTGGATGGCTAACGCTTAAAAAAAGAAAAAAAAGCACCTTATTATGCACACTTTACAGTTCCCACAATTGCCCTCAGAGGGTAAGGGATATAGGCCACCAGATGGCATTCTACCGGCTGCTCAGAATGAGGGGCGATGCCTTTGCAACAAAGTTTCAGCAGTAACTGGAGGAAATGTTTTCTTTTAAGGTGATATAAGGACAGCTTTGTCAGCCTCACTGAAAGAAAAAACTACTAAAGAATGCTTTATAAAAAACATTCGGCCTAAAGGAAGTGCCTTGAAAGCTACTTTGCTCATCCAATTTATCAAGCAAAAGGACATCGGGAGAACAGAGTCTAATTGTCTGACGAGGTGCTTTGCCTTTTCACACCTAGGGGTGAGCAATTAGTTTCTGACAAATGACTTTTTAAAGAAAAACAAATGCAAAAGAAACTTAGGAAATACTTCAACCTGGAGCTTGCCAATTCCTGAATAATGATAGGGAAGGTACTGCAGATTCAAGCGTTCCAGAAAATATCACCAGAAATGACACATGTTCCCCATTCTGGAACACATGCAAAAGCAATCCTGTCTTCGGGAGCACAGAGGCGCCAGTGCGGCCCGTGTACTCACCACATCCGGGGGATCAGGCCGCCCAGTGGGAAGTCAGCGCTGAGCACCCCACCACAGGGCCCCACCATCACGCGTGCCAGCCCTCACACCTCCCATGGGCCCGTTTCAGCAGCTGCGATCCCGCTTCTCCATTTTTTGAAAGAGAGTCCGGGAGGCCCAGTGCAAACCAGCCGCTTGTTGAGAGAAGGCGATCTGAGAACTGTAACACTGCTCGGGCTTTCGAGGCTTGTGTAAGTCTGTGATTCACTCTACAATGGGGCCATCAAGCACGCCTAGGAGAAATTACAGGTTTCTCTTGTCTGAAGCAACTCCATTAAAATGAGTCACTTGTTTGTCTTTTCATCGCTTACCTTCATCACAGATGATTACATGAGACGCCGGCTCGCACCTCTTGTAGTGGCGTAATCGGAAGGCAGAGGGGTAAAATGCAAGGCTGAGCCACTGTTGTTGAGGATTCTAAAAGGTTATCACTTTTTTGCCTGTATGATGTTAAACTTGGGAAAACATGGCTGGAACATTGATCAGTGAGTCATGATCTAATCCCTACCTTAGCAAGAGAGATTTTAATAGCTGGACCAAGGAGGTCTTACTGAAGCTCTACCTCGGGCCACAGCTGTGGAGGGTTTGGACCCAGGAGGCACCAATAGCAGCAAACTTCATATGACCTGACTTCAGACTGGGCAGTCTCTTTGGATTTTCCTTGTCACCACCAAATAGTCCCATACAATCCAATTCCAGGGTCTCCTATTTACATGCCTCCCTGGTCCCAAAATTAATGCAAACCTCCTTTTCAATATTATCAAGGGAAATGATGATAATAGGAGAAGTAAGTGAAAGACAATTGTGATACATCTTTTCCAGTAGTAAACAGCAAGAAGGAGATGTTTGTGGAAATAAAGGTCAGTTTCACTGAGCCTGCTAGTTAAGTACTGGGTCATTTGGGAACTGAAAGAGCCAGTATCATCAAACCTTTGTTGTGTAATCAAAGGACTTTATTGAACATATTCTATGTGAAGACACCTTGCTCTGCATTTTGGGCATACAAAAGTGAATAACATAGTAACAAAAGTGAGTAATCCCGTCCCCAAGGTTTTATAGTCTTATCTGAAAAAGAAAATATATGCACGTAAAAGGACTTAAAAGTAAACAAACAATATAACACAATAAATACAAAATATAAAGTTAATAGCACAGATTATAAATATTATAGGAAATCAGTACTTCTGGTTGAACTAATCAGGGAAGACTTCAGGGAGGAGACAAAAAGTGAAGCAGAGCTCGGACCCAGTGTGCCCTGAATAGAACCCTGTGACGTAAACTCTTTCCCAGGCAGGAAACTATATATGTCACAGCCATGGCAATGCTGAGCAAAAGATTGGTCAGTGAAAAGCTCAGCAGATTTGGGGGAGGCCATACCCCTGATGGTGAACAGACCTTATCAAATGCTTAATTCTTCTATTTAGAAGTCAATGAATTAACTCCCATGAGAGTGTCTACATCCAAATTCATGCCAAAAGCCATGCTCTGTGCTTGCGTGTATAAGTGTATGTCTTCGTGTGTGCAGGAATTCACAGGTACTCTAACAAAAACAGCCAACATCTTAACGGCCAATTATTTTTTGCCAAGTACTATTCTAAGTATTTTACCTACATTCATTCATTTAATCTTTACAACAACCCTGTGAGGTAGGCTCTATTTTTCTTAATTTATAGATAAGAAAATCAAACTCCAAGGAATTGAAACAACTTTCTCAAAGATCATCATATGTATTAAGTGTTCTAACCACGAATCCGCCTTAGCGGATTGTTAGCACCAAGTTCTCCTTGAGCCACTTTGACCAAGTCACTTCCTTGGTGAGATATGAATGGGACCTATGTCTCCACCCAGGGTGTCCCATAGTCATCGTAAGCCATGCGGTTCATTGACATCTTCCAGGATGGGGCAGACAAGGTTGTGAGCTTCAGGAGAGAGGGTACAGCTTCTTCAAGGGATTCCCGAATCATCCCAGAGTTTCTCAGTGGTATCCATGGGTTTTTCTTGGTTAATAATGATCCCACAGTAGAATGCCTTTCCTGCCATCCTGTCATGGTAAATGAGTTCATCTGAGTGGAGTGTGATTTCATACTTACAGATGTGACTGCTCAGTGGCCAGTCCAGACAAAAGGCTAATCTCTCTTTCTCTCACTGGTGCTCAGAGTTCCCATCTGCAAATGGACTCAGTCTTTTCTAATGATTGTCTAGATTTTTAATTCTAACACTAGTTTTGTGAGATTGCATCATCACTTCAATACATGGACCCCAGCAAATGACATCTCTTTGTACTGAGCTCTCAGCATGGAGAGAACCAGGACTGGAACTGTCCCATTCCCTGTCCTTGAGGAGATTCTACAGAAATACTGGGAAATGTCAACTTACAACCACTTTCCAACTTTTGAAAAGGAAGCAAGTGTTGTCCCAATAGGGGCAAAGCCACTTGAAAGGTGACTCATGCTCCAGGTTGATGTACGCTCCTGCTTTCTGATTGATCTCTTTCTTACAGTTTTAATTTCTCCAACGTCCCTCCTTGGAGGAAGATTTTTGTAGTAGAAAGAAAGAGAGAGAGAGAGACCCCACTCACTCACAAACGGAGTCTCACTTTCCCATGTGTAATATAACATCATGAATGCTGGACTGTTGGTAGAATAACTGGGGGCTACTCATTGCCCCCTTTTCCCTTGGCCACTAATTCTCTTCTGATGCATCAGCCTGTGAACTTGCTCTGTAAAGGAGTTCTTTTTTTTCTTAAAATGGCTTCTATCTATAGCACTGCCCTCCTATCAGGTGGCTCCTGGTTTGAATGCCGAATTTGTTTACATACAAGATTAAGAAAATGAGCATCTCTTGACATGAAATACGATATTTCCCCTTCCTCAACACAAGTTTCAAAACAATCATATTGTTGGTGAGAGCTAAGTGGACATTGTCAGAGTAGACAGAGTCCCTCGGTGGCTCCATGACTTGAGGAGAAAGTCCAGGGCTGGGAGCCACAGACCTGGGTTTCTACCCATGGTGCAGGCCTTGATTAGCTGTGACCCATCACTCCAGAATGAGTCTCCTTAAAATGAGCACCTTTCTGGTTCAAAAGCTCTATACTTTTCACTTGATTCACAGCCAAAGCAGTGTGTGTCAGCCCAAGTCAGGCTGACCGTGCAATCTATTTAAATCTGGAGAGGTGGACTGTGCTGGCCCTCGAATTCCTTTAGTACAAGACCAGCAATGATGCACTTAGAAGGAGCCCACCGGTTGGTGATCATTCACGGGCCCCTCCCGCAGCAGCCCACAGACTCCAGCCAGGTGGTATCTCAGGCCACCTTCGCCAAGAGGCACCAGAGCTCTCTTCCTGAGGATACGTGTGACCCAGCAGCCGGAGCTGAAGGCCCTCGAGACCGAGGCCCTCCTGCGGCCCACTGTGTCTGTCTGTTCTCTGCGGGTGCCTGGCGTGGCATAAATCTGTCTACATATATGTGTAGGGTTGACTGGGGGAGAAATGGTCAGCATCACAGATCAGCTCAGACAGAGGGCCTTCCATCGTCCCCACACTTGAGGCCCTGCTCCAGCAGCACCACAGCTCAGAGGGCTCCCTACAGACCCCCAGAGGCCAGAAGACAGGACTATGCACATCTCTCCTGGGGACTCACTGCCATTCCTGGAACGCATGACCTTGTCAAGAACAGAAAATCACAGCTTTAATACACAAGCAGCAAGGCCCAAAGCCACCTGACAATTGCCCTATAGGCTCACTCTTTCTGGAAAAACAAGCCCGTCTGGGAAGAGACCCCTTGGCAAATGAAGAGTCTCTTCCCTTTTAGTCACTTTGGAATCTGTGGAACTAGTTGTTCTATTGCCTATAAATGCTGAGTTACAAACCTTGTCTTTCCATAAACTAGACCCCTTCTTTCCTTTTGGGAAATACCCCTTTCTCTGTACAAAGCCCTGGGCTGCTTCAGAGGGTCTCAGCTGCAGAGGCTCTGGGGCCCAGATGGACTGGGGTGCGGGGCAAGGGTTCCTTCTACATGTCTGCGTGCCTCTCTCTCTGCTTCTGTCTCTTGCTCTGTGTGTGCTTCCATGGGAGTCTTAGTCTGAATGTGTGTCTCTCTCTGTTTCTTTCCATTTTTTTTCTAGGTGTGTCCCTACAACCCTTGGCCTCTCTCTGCCTCTCTGACTCACTGTCAGTGTGTGTCCCCCATGTGGGTGTCTCTGTGTCCCTGTCTGGCCTTCTCTGTATCTACAGGGACCTGGGGACAGAGGATTGAAAGACCTTTGTGCACGTGCCCATTCATCTGGGCTGTTCTCTTCCAACCCTGAGTCACCATGTCCCTCAGGAAGTATCACTGGATTTCTGTCCCCGCCCCCCAGTGGCTCCTTCTCTCTATTTCTCTCTGTGTCTCTGTCTTTCAGACACTACCTTGAACGTAAGTTAACTTCTACATGACCTCTGAGGCCTCTCACAGACAGTGTTTATCATAATTCCTTGATCTTTTAACAATACGGAAAAGAGAGGAGCCACAGTGGGACACCGGTGGGGTACTGCTATCTTAGAGGATGTCCTGGGGGTGAGCAACAGGAGGGGAGGAGGAGAGGGACCAGCCGTGTGGCCTGGCACCTCTGCTCACCCCCTTCTTAAACACACTCAGCCTAATTTACAAGCATTCTCAGATGACCTGATTGCTTTACAGGGACAACAAAAACGCCAGTAGCGCAAGAAGTAGAGGTGCACACATATCTTTAACCATAGCTACATGAGAACGGATTGTATAAGGAAAATCTTTTCAATCAATAAAAAAATCATTTCAAGTTCGAATCAATCAAATTGTGGTTTTTGAAGGAAGTGTCATATGTATGGCTTGAATAGGGAGGCCCCTGGCTTTGCACTCACCGCCCAAGTCAGGAGTACAGCCTGCTTGTTACCCTGGCCCTTTGGTGGGGTGACAAGAGAGATCGGAAGAAAGGTTCTGTTGGAGACAAAAGTAGAATCACACTCATCATTACTGAGCTGTTTTCAATAACCTGTTATCACAATTATTTGAAGCACATGGAGAGTTGTGACTTACAGCGGTTTATTTCACCCTTTCATTGCCTCTCTCTCCTTCTTTATATCAGACCCGCTAACCACTTAAGAATGGGCTGGTGTGAGAGACCCTCCTCCTCGCTGGCCTGGCCTGAATCTCTCTCCTTTGGGAGACTCTACTCTGGGAGGGAGGCAGGGATGAGGCAGTGGAGGGGAAATGTTAACACGCCCCCAAGCCCCCAGATAGCTTCTCCTCTGGCCTGCTGAAACCCCCAGCATTTGTCATCCACGCGTGATGTGCTGGAATAAGTACCGTTGACATTAAATATGAAATAAGGTACTCAATGTCCCTAAAAGTTCTTGTGCTTTAGGTATATGTTGCCTAAGATAGGCACTACATTAGCCGGTGGCAGACAAGTACATCATAGCCATGGACTAGTACGTCACATCAGATACAGAGTGAACACAGACAAGTGCGTTTATTGTCCTGGGCTTGGGGATCTGGGATGGACCCTCTGCAGGCAGGTCCCACACGGGGACAGAGTTCCATCTGGACTGAAGAAGACTGCTGCCTAGGGATGAGAGGTCTATAAGGCAGGAAAGAAGACAGATGAGCCTTCTTCCCCGAGTGGGGCCGGCAGAACTGAAGCTCACAGGCCAAGGCTAGCAAGCAGGCAGAATGAAGGAAGGGTGACAGAGTAGGATACGTTTTTCACCTGTCACCTAGACCGGTGCTTCTTCAACCTGCAACACATTAGAATCCCTGGGGACCTTTAATGAAACACGACTAGACCCTACCCCCAAGAATTTCTGGTTTAAATTTTCTTGGGTGGAACCTGGACAGTGACATTTTAATAAAGCTCTCTAGTTATTTCTAAGGGCACCAGCATTGAAAACAACTGACTTGGACAACCAACAAACTGATAATAAAGCTCGGGGCATAATCCGGCCTTATTGTTCATATAGAAACACAAAGAGAAGTGGGCAAAATGCCTATTATTCTCTAGCACTGGTGAGCACAATTTCTTTGTGGTAGCTGAATGGACCAATGCTGAGAACACATAAGAAGAGGAGGGATACTAAATGGGAAGGGATTGGAAGTCGGCCACTCTCTACAGTGTGCTGGCAGACCAGAGCGAGGTAGGAGGGGAACACTTCCGCCAGGTAGGCTGGCTGGAGGCAAAGATCTACACTGCTGTGATACCTCAGGAAGGCTTAGCGGAGTGGGTCGCAATCCTGACTACATTAGAATCACCTGGAGAGCTTGTAAAACTCCCCAAACCTAAGCCATTCCACAGGGCATTCCAATCAGAAGTTCCAGTAGTGGGACTCAGGCAACAGGTTTTGAAGTTTCCCAGTTGATTCCAATGTTCAGTTAAGGCTGAGAACGACTGCTTTAGGCAAAGATGTTTATTCTCAGTAAAACTTGAATTTGCTTGTTTGTTTATTTGTTCATGTCAGCTGGAAAGGGTGTAGAGGGGTCAGCAACCTCCCAGGTTTGGAGACCAAGGACTAGGAACAAGATCATAGTTTGTGTAAGATTAAGACAAATGGAAATAGGAAAATAAAGGGAAGGAAAAGGAGAGAAGACAAAAAGAGGGCTAAAGAAATGAAAGGAGAGGGAATGGAAAGGCATGGAATATGGGGAAGGTGCAATTCTGTCACTCCGGCCCATGTGGCACCCAGCCCCTGGGTTCCGGCACCCCTCTGCAGGTATACCTTTTGCAACACCAGTCCATGCCAGGCAATGCAGAACCCATCAGATGTTGGCCTGTGAAACCCCAGATCACCTCTTTGTTTGTTCCTGGGTGTGTTCCCTGGGCTTACCCTGAGTCCTCTTTTGGTGTCATTTAAAAAATTTCCAATTTTTCCCTTCCTCAGAAGCTAAGGAGTCCCATCCTTCACATAACAATACATGGCTTCTAAATGATTGGAATGGAAGATAAATGAAAGGGCACCTATATATTGCATCCAAAGACTACACCTTCCCACAACACCTCTGAGCAGGCCCTTGCCTTCTTTGGCAACTCCAGTAACCCCGGCAGCCGACCCCTCTTGGAAATCAAGCTATTAGGAAGTTCTCTGTGTAGAGTCAGAATTTGTGTCTGTGAAATTTTCATACTTTGATTGTGGTTCAACTGATTGGAATCATAGACAACGAGCAAGCTGCCAGGGAACCTGAGATTCCTCAACTTCTCTACTTTGTCTATCCATCATCTGCTCTCTCCCGCTGTGTGGTTTGAGGGTCACCCCTCCAGGCCTGGTCACCTTGTCTCTCCTCTAAATGCATTTAAGTCTGCTTTCACCCCTCTGGATGTGGTCCCACGACTCCAGAAAGAATCTGAACAGCTCAAAGGGACACACACTTAGCACTTCTGAAAATTCCAGACCACAAAGTGCTAAGGAATAGTTTAAGCAACACTATTATCTTGCCAATCTTTTACATGCAGTAATGAATACGAAGGTTTTACCTCTGATATTCTGGAGATCCATTTTGCAGAGGTTACTCGACTCTTTAAGGCTTCTCTTATCTGCATAATTAACAAAAGGAGTTAAGAAAAGATTATAAAAAATCAGCACATGTGCTTGGGCCCGGCAAACACACAGGGAGGGCGTGTGTTACCAGCCAGCGCCTGTAGGTGGCATATGAAGGGATTGGTACCTCGGAGAAGTGGTCTGGGAAAAGGTACAGAGCTAGCATAGGAGACGCCCATTCAGGGCCTCAAACGTGAACCCAATGGCTAAGAAATGCAGTTTGCCACAACGCTGAGGGATTCCTGATATTTCTTTGGGAGTATTTTTTGGAGCATTAGGATAGTTGAACATTTCCCACAGTCTATCAATTATTCAAAGCCCCTTTACTAGAAGGACAATACATAGTTTTTTTTAAAAAAAGAACTCTATGCAGCATAGCAAAAGCCTGTATAGCTAAGAAAACAAGAATAATAAATAATAGTATTTTTAAGTATGTACTCAATATGCTTAATATATTAAATAATATACCTACATTGTATATTTATATTAATATAGAATAAAATAATGTTAGTTGTTAAATACCTATTTAAATGTTTTGTTTTTAAAACTGTATTCTTATACTTAAATTTTTTTAAAGTGCTTTAAAGTGCTTTTCATGCTTGTCATCTCATCCTATTTAAAAAATAATCCTGCAAAGTAGATATTATTATCCCCATTTTACAACTGAGGAAATCAAGACTGCGGATCAAGTGACATCCAAAGTCAGTCAGCTACTAAGAGGAAGAGGCAGGACTTGAGTTCGTGTCCTCTGACTCCAGACCATCCTGTTGTTTTCCCTTAATCTTCCCTGCTGAACACAGGCACTCTCTGCTTAGTTCTACTCCCTCTTCTTCGCTTCTGCTTTATAAAATGATGTCCACCTCCCAAGGCCTTGTAAAAGTTCTGTCTTCATGGTCAGTCCACGCCAAAGTCCTCCAGCTCAGACTGACTTCACCCTTCCCTGAAAACTGTTCTCTGTCACACACAGGCTCCCAAGAGGGAGGAGCGCTCAGTGGGGGCTTGGGGTCTAAGCACCCGGAGACCCACTGGAATATATAAAGACACATTGGAGCTTCTACTTAAATTAATTTTTTCTCATCCTCTTTTTAATTGTTTCACAATGTGCATAATACATACTTCATAAATTAATAATCAACACATCAGAGAATGCATGCTCACTGCTTTTTTATTCATCCTAAAAATTCAAAGACAACTGACACACAACTTTTTGTCAGTTAATCATGTATGGTCCTGTGACAGCTTCGAATATTTACCTTTTACATTATAATTTTAAATACAAGAGGTTTTGATCCTGATGGAAGGTTCTACATCTTAGAGGTCTTTGCACATCTCACAGCACGTAACCCTGCTAAACCAATAAATAAAATGCAGCTGCAGCTGCTTTGACTACAAATACTACTTGTGATATTAATATTAATAAAACCCTTATCATATAGTAATATCTGAAATGCTTTCTGTGCATTTTCGCTTGCAGAATTGCATTTTTTTCCTTACGATAATCTAGAAGAAAAGGTAGGGAAATCATTACCTCTGTATTCCATTTGAGAGATCTGGGGTACATGAGAGCTAAGAAAGTCCCCAGCAGCACACAGCTAGTACACAGAAATATCAAGACTCAAAGACTTACACTTCATCATTTTCACCTCCAGATAGTTTTATTAGTTTGATATGGTATCCTCATAAGAATGTGAAGAGACCATTATGAAATGCCTCTTGTACAAACCTTGTTTATTAATTTAATAGAGAGCACTAATAGTAAAATAAATAAATAAAACAAAAGATTAAAAGTCAACCCTGCAGTGAAGGTGTTTGTGTCTGCCTTTGAAAGTTTGGTATGCTTTGCTCATTCCTGGAAGTGATATAGGACAACAGAAAAAGAGTGACCTTAGAAGCCCGAGTAAACATTTAATGCTTTACTCATTTGTTTAGTTATTTGTTTTCATCACTCGCCACTTATATACATTCATCTATATTTGGAGAATTCCCTTCCTTGGGTCCACTGCTCTTCAAGGTAGAGGCCAGGAACTCACTCTCCCAGCCTCCCTTGCAGCTCACATGTAGCCATGTGACCTGGGCTCAGCCAATCCAACATGACAATGCAAAGAAGCAGCTATCAGTGGGGTCCCCAACAGCAGGGTGGAGCAGTGGCAGCCTCTAAGGTCTGACTGTTGGCCTGGTGAAAGTGGGGAGAGGTAATGGTGTCCCTCAAGGAGCAGCTCTGGGCCGTGACCTGGGAACTACTCCTGATGTGTAGCCTCCAAGCCTCCAAGTCAGAGAGACCGTCCCAGAGATGATACTGTGAGATTTACTAAATTGCTTTGCTGTTTCAACTAGAGGGGATTTCTGTAGCGATCGTATGCAAGTTTAATCACTCTTGAGTCTCAGTTTCCTCATCTGTAACACTGAAAATAGGAATATACCCAAGATTACACTAAGGATTAGAGCTAAAGAACCTAAAACGTTCAGCTCCTTAAGAGCTTGCACAACAGTAGGTATTAGTTGCATTGTAAAGAACAGTGATGCCTGTTCAAGTGTAACGTTGGAGGTGAAAGACTCTCAATATGTGGTCTTTACAAATGAGGACTGCAGGGCCAGGTACCCACGATGCAGGAACAGTAAGAACTTATGGTACCTTTGGATCCAGGAGTGTTCCGAACACCAAAATGAAGAAGCCCTGCGAAAGACAGGAGAAGGGACAGCCATTTATAAAATAGCAATAATAATACCAGAACTCATTTTATCAGGTCTTACCCTGGTAAAAACAAAACTAAAATAAAAACAATTTTATTAAATCTTCAACTTTCTCATTTTGAGGTCACAGTACCTCGATTCATCTATTCAACAAATATTAATTGAACATCTTCCATGTTCCAGCCACTGTGCTACACATTTGGGATACCTCAGTATGCCTAACAGACCAAGGTCCCTGATTCATACAATATTATATAAATTTCATTTTAAATTGGGCAAAATAAAATTGTTGTGCCTTTCTCAGGAGCTGTGCATCTCACCAGAATATAATTTAATATAATAATTTTAATAATATAATATTAATAATTTAATAATGTCTGCAAGAGTTAGAGGTGATGTTAGGCAATGGACAGTAGCCTTGCAGTCCCTGGGCACTCAGTAATGAAAAATCTTCCACAGAAAAAAGCAAAAGTAGCTATGCCCAGCTTCCATTAACAACCTTAATCTCCTTCCTCCACCCGCAACCAAAGAATGTTACAAAACTTATAAAGAAAAACCAAGTACATGGATCCTCAGAAAAACTAGGACATAAAACAGATTGAGTTTCTAAACACATCATGTATGCTCGGAAACAGGTGCTCCAAATAAGATGATATAGAGAGAATTAATTTGCTCTCATATGTCTTATCCATAAACACACACACCATTAAAGTCAAAAGGAGGCTACTCCTCCGTCGTTACAGTCCATTCAAGTTTTTGACTTTTTTTTTTCCCACAAAACCACCCTGGAAGAAGAAAGGAAAAGTATCTTTCCTTATCAGATAAAGAAAAGGAAGCTCAAACATTCATCTTTCCAAACATGATAGACAGTAATGTTCATTAGACAAAGTTTCTCTTGAAGGTGTTGTTATTCAGATCCTGGCTCACCTGAGAAGAGAAGTGAGATATGACCTTTGATTTAGGCAAATCCTTGTTAAGCTGCTTCAATTACATAAATGTATGTGAGCACTTAGCCAGGCAGAGGCCTGTCCACACATGTGGGTTTACCATGTTACAACCTGGTGGTCATCAGTAGACACAATACCAAACCCACTGTTAACACAATTTGTAAATGCTCAGCTTAGAAGCAGCAGACTTCACAAGCCCCGGTGTATGGTCATGCAGCTCAGCCATTCCCCAAACACGCTAATACACCTCTTCACTCAGCCAGTCCAGCCAGTGCTCCGAAGCAGGGAAGGCTCCTATCAGATTGCTCCCCTGTGGAACATTCTTAGCCTATGAGATAGCTATTGAAATCCGTCATTGTGTCTGCTAAGAGTATGGGGCATTAGGTTACAAAATACCATTTGTATAAAGATAATGCTTGGGTCAAATACATCCCAGTCTGGTTTTGTACTAAGAATACATTTTAAATCAGTATCTCCATGACTTTTGCCCAGGAATTAAATTTTTTAAAGATGTAAGAACCATGATTCTAGCCTGTTTCCTCTACAAATAAACGTTACGTTAACTAAAAGGCTAAGAGGAATTTCTCTTCTGTAAGATTTTCCATTTCCTGAAGGTCAGACTAATTATATTTATATCTGCAACATTTAGCATAATGCTTGGCACAAAATAAAAATATTCAATAAATGTGGTATCCCCTGACTTATGTTTGTGTGTGTGTGTGTTTAGTTACTTTACTATGCAAACTGCATCTGTATAGCCATAAAGAGTAACAGGAAAATATTCCACTAGGCTCACTTTTCATTAGTCTATGCCACTTGGGGAAAAGTTACACAAAATATCATTCAATTTGGACAAAACATTAGTCATGAAGTTTAATATCTGACTGAAAAGAATTCACTGGTAACAGCTTCTTTGCATTTCTTTTCGCAGATAAAGTGCAATTCAAGCAGTTAAAAGGTGTTTTCCCAAGTTTTAAAATACACGCTTTACTGCTACAGACTGACTGTGTCTGCCCAAAATTCATGTGCTCAAACCTAATGCCCATGCAAAGGTATTTGGAGGTGCACCTTTAGGAGGTGATTAGGTCATGAGGGCAGAGCACTCAATAAATAGAATTAGTGCCCTTTTAAAAGAGGCCCTAGAGTCCCCTTGCACCTTCCAACATGTAAGGTTACAGCAAGAAGATGGCTGTTCATCTATGAACCAGGAAGAAGACTCTCACCAGCTACCGAATCTGCTGGCATCTTGATCGTAGATTTCCTAACCTCCAGAACTGTGGGAAATAAATGTCTTTGTTGATAAGCCACCCAGCCTGTGGTATTTTTGTTATAGCAGCCAGCATGGACCAAGATATTTACTTTTGTCCCACCAAAACAGCTCTGAGGGTTCCGAAGCCTTACCCAGCCCACAATTCCTCTCCGTAATTAAGAGAGAGGATTACGAGATGTGATGGCTGGCAACACAGGCAGCCAGGGTTGCAACTGACCACATACTAACACCTCCCTAGTGAAGAGGGTGCTTGAGCTTTCAGACCAGTGGAGGTTGTCCCACGGGACTAGGACCAGGAAGTCTCTATAAGGGTCTTTCTCCCACATCCTCTGGATCCACACATGTTTAGAAGTCTCTCTTCAGCCCCAGATGCTCCTCATCTCTGCTCCTACTAAGACTCAGCTCATCCTGTGCCTTCCTACTCAGTCAATTGTGTCTCCTGCCTCAGTAGGTGTATGGCTCTCATTTCTCTCTTCCTGCACTGGGAATCCTGAGGATGCCCTGATGCACTGATAGGTTGGCAAATAGCAATAATCAACTCTTCTAACTTGTAGCACTTGCCAGTCTCCATGGATAAATACTTCCCCTCCTTGGCTGATTTAAATCTAGCAACGTGACATTACTGAACATGGAGTTAGGAAAAGATGGGCACATCATTATACGGTGTTTCTACCATACAGATGCAATAGACCTAAATAGTACCAAGAGCACAGGAAAATGTAGACAATTAGGAAGTGATGCATTTTGAGAGTGTTTGACCTTTGTTTTTAATCTCGCTTATTTAATTGTGAGTTTATATCATTTAATTTTGTTGATGTCTGTGTTTACAACCAGCTCACAAAATCCCTGAAAATAGAAAGTCAGCTCTGGTGAGCCAGCACAGACCAACTCCGGCACCCCGCTGCCTACTGCCTGCTCCAGTGTCTGACCTTCAGCCAACCCTTCTCTCGGTTTCTCACTGTACCACTGGCACTGGCCTTTAAATGGGCCCCCTCCTCCTCCTTGCCAGTAAATGGCAGAAACTGAGCTGAAATTATGAGTTGATTCTGTTGTGATAGATAAACAAGCTCGTCCAAAATGAAATTCACAGTTAAGATGGCCCCAGGGGAAATAAGGAGAGGAAGGGGCTGAGAAGGGAGACATGAGCTCACCAGGGGTTCATGATGAATGAGCCATGAGATGTGCTAAATAGGAATTTGGGAACACTAGGATTTTTATCCTAGCCTTATCAATGACTAGCTGCATAAACATGGGCAAGGCAATTGGTAATTACTAAGAACTATGTAAAAAATGGAGGGTATGAAAATATCTTCTATAGAAATGCAAACAAAACCAGATATTCAAAAAGTGAGGTGCCCCTATTATTTTTTTTCAAGGCATCAAAATGTTTATTGTAAAATGACATGATTTATACTTTAATTTTGAAAAAAAAGAGAAAATATTTGACTTGAAAATCTCTACCATCCATTAGGTAAAACATTTATTTGAAAATAGCCTTACTTTCAAATAAGCATACATTCAGAAAAAAAAGGGGTATTTTAGAGATCTTTAGGAAAATAAAAGCTTTGTTTTCAACCAGTTGCTATCTACATATGTAACATTCA